CTATACACACAAAAAGTTTAAAATAGTAAATTTCATGATACATGTATTTTCCACAAAAAAATGAAAGAAGAAAACATCTTAAATCGATTTGTATTCCAAATATATAAAACAACCTTCTAAAATAAGGAAAAAGATAAACTACTGAACTGTAAAGTGAGTAAAGGGGACAAAGCAATTTAAAATACTAAGAAATGCAGAAATCAGCGCTCAAGGTAATGTAAATTAAAATGACATTCATATAGAAAAAATTTAAAAGTGTGCTAATTCCAAACGTTGACAAGGGTATGGAGAGATGAATCCTGTTTTGTTGAGTGGGAGCACACATTAGAGTAAGTACTTTGGGAGCTATACTAGACATAAAAATTTCAGTATGTATATTGTAAATCAATAATTTTTAACTGTAAGTCTCAATATGAAATCGAGTTGTAAATCACAAACTGGAAACTTTTTAGTGAAATTGAAGAAAATAATAATAGAGGATGTCAGAGTGAATGGCCAATAGTAAAGTAAAATTTGTTGAGTTATAAATATGCAGGTAGTTATGTGCTTACACGTTTGCTTATGAATGTTTTGGGTACAATTTATAAAACTTATTTCTTACTAGGAGTCATGGTAAAAACTTTGAAAACCAATGGCTAAGAGCACCAGTTCTCAAAAGTTTGATCAACAAACTTCTGAAGTTCTCCAGTACTCAGTAGATCCATGAAGTCAAAATTATTTTTACAATAACATTAAGGCATTATTTGCCTTTTTCATTAGCAAGGAGTAGAGTTTTCCAGAGACTACATGACATGTGATATCACAATAAATGCAAAGCCAGATATGAGAATCCAACTGCCTTCTATTAAGCAAAAATTTTTAAAGATTTCAAAAAATGTAAAGCATGGCATATGCCTCCCTGAATTTCTTTTAAAAATAAAATACAGGTTAATGTGTGTGTCTGCTATAGTACTATTTTATACTTATTAAAATATTGTTATTCATAATCACATGTAATAGTTTTATTATTTTTAAGTGAACTCATAAAGTTTTTAAATGTAAACAAAAAAATATTCTATGGCATAGTGGTTTAACTGCTAAAGACAGTTAAATTTGACTCTGAGCAAAAACATCTATAATAATATAGAAAACTGGTAATTTTCAAGAATCTACAAATTTGCACATTAAGCATTTCTTTTTCCTAATTCCAATGATTTCATTTTCAATATTTCCACTTCTAAAAGTAATAACATAATTAAAACAAAATAATATTTCTTACCTATTGTTGAAGGTTGAATTTTGTCCCCGCAAGAGAAATACTTAAGCCCATTTGCCCAAATATGACCCTTTTTGGATAGAAACAGGATATTTACAGATATAACCAAATTAACTTGAGGGCATATTGGTGGACTAAGGTGAGTCTTAAATCCCATGACTGCTCTCCCTAGAAAAAAGACATGTGAAGACACTGACACCCAGAGACACACCAGTAGAATACCACATGACATTTAAAATGAGGCAGGACTAGAAGTGCTGCAGCTAGAATCCTAGGAACATCAAGGATTTCCCACCACCACAGAAGTCAGGAAGAGGTAAAAGAGCTTCTTCTAGCACCTTTAGAGTAGAAAAGAAGTTCCTGTTGACACCTTGATTTTGTATTTCTAATCTTCAAAACAGTTGACACAATAACTTTTTCTTATTCTAAAACTCTTAGGGCCAGGAATTTAGCTCAGTGGTTCAGTGGCCTGCCTTGTAAGCGCAAGGACCCGAGTTCAATCCCTGGTACCAAAAAAAAAAACAAAAAACAAAAAACAAAAACATAAAATTCTTAGTTTATAGTTGTTATGGCGATCCAAGGAAGTTAATGTATCTGCATCTATAAAATCAGCAGTTTCAGCTTTTTTCTCATTAAAACAGACCCCCGGCAGAAAATGAAGAAAAATAGGAACTACTGTATACTTTAACCAATAAGTATTAACTTTTTTCTTTTTGTCAAATCTCTTCTACACTTGCAATAGTAAGCATATATATTTTAAAAATTAATTTTATTGGTGCATTTCAGGTATACAATATGAAATTCATCATTGAAAATTTGCACCTTTACATAATCTATCTTGGTTCTTATTTTTTCCCCATTCCCCTGCCCTCCCGTCAACCCCTCCACCCCTCCCTATTTACAAAGACTTGGTTTCCATTTTTTCCTTTTCTCATATTAATTCCATTCTCTTATTTCCTTTCCCCTACGCCTCCTACTTCCCCTTTCCCTTTGCCCCTTTTCTTCCTATTTCACTTTATCTATTATACCTCTTGATCCTTATTTACACTTGCAGTTTCTCACACCAGAGAAACTATTCAGTATTTATACATGGGTGTCCTATTTATTTCACTTAAGAATATCTCCTCAATGTGCATCTATTTAGCTATAAATATCTCTAATTTCTCATTCTTTATGGTTGAGTAGTACTTCATCTTATTAAAAAACTACATCTCCTTTTCCAGTCCCCAGTTGATGGGCAATTGGGCAGTTTCCAAGTTTTAGCTATTAAAAGCTGTGCTGCTATGAACATGGGTGCACATATACAGCTGTGGTGTAATTATTTTAATTCTTTTGGGAAGATACCCAGCAAGCTGGCTCAAATGGGGCCTCGAATCCTAGTTCTTTGAGGAATCTCAATACTGTTTTCCACAGTAGTGAGCATGTATATTTTTGCAATAAAAATTTTTAAATTTAAAACCAGTATTGATACTATTATTATTTAACAATCTATGTAAGTTCTAGTCAATGTACAGTAAAATATTTTTACTAATCTAGGTTTATAATCTAAAAGACATTTATTCTTTAGTCTTTTATATGGAAAAATTATAAAGTCTTTATAAAACAAAAGCACAAGACAGGAATAAATAATAAATGAAATTATCTTAAGTTCCCAGAGTTCTGTTACTTTAATAAGACGGCAAACTGATTCTAAATGTTTATGTTGTAGGAAAGGAGTCAGAGTAGTCAAGGCTATTCTGATGGATAAGGAAGACCTCCAATCAGACATCAAGAGTCATTATGAGTTATAAAGATGATGACAGAATAACACTAGCAGAGCCAGAGAAATTAGTCAACCAACTAGAATGGAATCTTTCATTTATATGGAAGTTTGATATATCAAACAATGACAGTTACAGATCAACAAAGAAGGGGGAAATATTAAAAAATAAAACTGGAATAAATGATCACCCATATAGAAAATAATGAAATTGGACCCCTATTTTATGCTATTTACAAAAAATGATCATAGAATCATTAAAGCCCCAAAGTAAAAGTAAAACTTTAAAAAGACATAATTGAATCTTCTTGTACTTTAATAAGAAACAGAACGCACCAATTATAAAAGATTGATAAATTTGCCTAAGAACTTTCTTCATTAAAAGATCATCTCTACCTCTAAACCTTACTAGCTGTTGTACTATAATCTAAGGACACTGTCTTTAAGGTTATATTCCCTTAGGATTGGTGAGGCTTGCTTATCAGACATGGGAAGTTGTTAGCGCAAGTTCAACAGTGGCCCTGAGCTTTTCAGTAGTCTCTACTCTGAGGCTCACCCTGATTACTACTTGAACAAAGGCTAATTGACCAATATAAGGGACCTGATGATTTAGCTTTTCCCAACACACATAGTAAGTGATAAACCCAAGGAACATGAACCCACAGTCCAAAATACCTACATATTTGCAAAAAACTATTATGAAGAGTCAGCAAAACCTGCATACATTATAAATAAGCTTGTGTTTATATTTGTGTTTATATTACACATAATATTAAATACATTGTAATTCATAAGAAAATGTCAATTTTTTACACTGAGTCTTTTTATTAATGTCTCTATTATTCTTGAATGCTGCATTTTCAAAGATAATATTAACAATTCTGCATATTAATTTACTTGCTATTTCTAATAATTTATATTACATTGCATTACTGTCATACTATCATACAGATGAGAAAATTAACATTTGAAGAATTAATGTGGCCCCCAAGCTACTAAAGATTTGAGATTTGAATCCAAGACTGTCCAACACTGAAGTTCAATTTCTAATAATTTATTTTACTTTATAAGGCAGACTTTGGTATTAGTCTAAGGGTCCCAGTTAACTGACTCTAAGACATATGTACAATATTCCTGGCTAACTAATTCTTTTTCAAATTCCACAGCCTGAAATTCAAGGAAAATTCTTGGACCAAACAAGACCGACTAGGAGGCTGAGAATGGTAAGTAAGGTCTGGGTTCGTGCCTGGGATAAAACACTGAACTACTATATACTGTCCTATTATATATCAGTAACAAGATCGATGAGGTGCACTTGCCTTGTAAATGAGAATCCCTTATCCACATTCAGATTAGTCTACCTACAGAACTCCTCCAGTCAAGGATATACAAAGAGGCTGAAGACACTCATGGGCGCTGATCTATACTATGCTACAAGGTGCTCAGTGAGGAGGCTCTCTGGACAATTCTCCCTCTCACTCTGGAGAATGTCCATGGCCCCTGTGCTGTGTAGCCTGGCTATGGGAGCCTCCTTCTATATCCTTTCAGTAAGGGAATTAATTTCTAGGGTTTACCCAAGTGATGTGAGTACGGTCCTTCAGTCAAGATAAACTACCAAGGAGATTTGTCAGAATGATCATGTTATTCTCATCCTCCTTTTTGACTTCCTTCATACAATAAATATTTTCAGAAAAAAATGAGTCTTCAGTTAAGTTTTTTAAGAAAGAAAGTGTCTCTGATCTAAAAGTCAATGAGAAAAAAAAATGACCAAAAAAATCATATAGGTTTCTAAGAATTTTTTTAAAGTAGCTTCAAACAACCCAGAGCAAATTCTTTAGTAAACTGCAAGGGACTAGTCATGTCACATGTAAACCTGTACAAAGTAGGAAAGTAAGATTTGTAAAATTCAATAACATTTATATAGAGTAAGTATCGGTGAAGCATGAAGACATGGAAATTAAGAAAACAGTTTCTAAAAAGACTTACTGTGGACTGTGTTTGTGCCATGTATTCACCCTCCATTTTATTTAGTCTCACATTTGTATCCTCCAGTAATTCTTGAATATTTTCAGTGTGTTGCTTTTGAAGCTCAAATTTTTCTTTTTCCATTTCTGCTACAGCATTATGGAGCTACACAATGAAATAAAGACTCTTTCACTACTATGAAAAGACTTTTACAATTTAGAAAAAATTTTA